CTGCGATTGGAAAGGTATATACTAAAACTGAAAGTTGAAAAGCAATACAGGTAGCTCATCATATATCAATGATGAAAATAAATTAAATGATAAGGGCTACAGGTATAAAAATGATAATTGATAAAAGAAATAAGGTCAAGGAAAAACGACATCAGAAAGCAACACTACACCAGACAAGAGGTCTCATAATTTGATTACAGACCTGAAGTCAAAACTATAGAAAAATGATAAGAGATACAGATAGTCAATTAAAAGTAAAAAAAAAACGAGAAAAAAATATCACGAACCAACCCTACCTCACAAGACCTAATTAGGTAAATGACCGTAGGATAAAATTGTGATTACTAATTATCACATTACTTGTGAAGGTTATCACGACATTTGAAAGTGATTGATTAGGCCTACAGCAAAGATATAACATAAGTACAAAACTTAAACTTAAGTAAAGACATGTAAACATATTTGCACCCCCCCCCTCTCACCTCTCAATCTAGAAAATGATTTGTACCCCAAATTGTACTCTATTTCATTTCTACCAATATAAAATTCAGATTTTTAAACATTTCTTCACCAAAATATGTGTCAGAATGCACCAAATCAATTCCATTTGTCCAAATTTTCTTAAGAGAACCCTCTTAGACACTCCCTGGCAGTCTTACACATAAGGCCCTTCCGTAGAGCTGCTGCATTTTGATTCTCAAGTCTGACAGCTGTGCCCCAATTAAGTCAGTCTGCCCTCTATTTGTACCCCCAGTCTCGGGAAGCCGGCTCTGCCACTGTCTTGAGCATACTGGTATAAAAATTTTACCTGAGAAAGTGTGTTTTTGATTGCTACCTTTATAAGAAAGCTACAATTCCATTTGCTCACAAATTTGTCAGCCACCGCCCAATAAAATTGAGGTCAAAGGTTAGAAAAGGGGACAAATTTTAGGGGTTAACATTTCTCTAATGTCTTTTTTTTTTATCTGATAAAGTTTGTGTACATAATAGTATAGATATCTTCACATTCTTACAACTCCAAAACTAGGTGAGTTCACAATGATAGTCGGCCGGCCATAGCCAGAAAAACCATGTCATTCTGACTGTTAGCTTTTCAAAGCTGCAATCCTAAACTACTTGACTTGGCATTGACAGATAGTTGTGGGCCATAGCCAGAAAAACTATGTCATTCTGACTGTTGACATTTCAAGGCTGTAATCCAAAACTACCTGACTCAACATTGACAGATAGTCGTCGGCCATGGCCAGAAAAACTACCACAAAGTCTGCATGTGCACAGATAAAATAATAAATGCTCAAAATTTGTTTTTAAAAAATATAAAAACCTCCAATGTAAACACAGCTTACCTAAGCTTTATAGTTTTTCTGACCCTATCACAACAGACATCCGTCAAAAAAATCACTATCAACGTCTAGACATGCACATAAGTGACATATCTTAAAGCATTAGTTAGTTATCTTATATCAAAACACATGATGGTATATCACATGGTCTAACAAATTTTTTAAACTTAATTCCATCAATTATATTGTAGTCAAAAGGCTAAAACAGGTTTATGTTTATGTCTATTCATTTATAAAGAAATTGCTGACTTAGAACATGAGATGCATAACAATCATGTCAGATCGTGGATGACAGGTGGAGTCGCTATTGGAAACAACATTCGTTAAACTTGTATGAAATGAGATATCCTACTGAATTAATTTCAATTGGGCTATGAAGAAATGCAATGTGGCAAACTTTGTCAAGACAGTGGCATCAGCTTACTCTTGTTAGATTTTCAAATTTTCACAGATTTTAATATATTTCAAAACATGGCATGGAAAATACCTTAGTCTAAACTTCTACTTTAATAATTCTTGAAAAAAGATCAACAACCCAACCTTTCCTTGAACTTTGTACACTATAGGTACAATAGAGAGACGTGTCCTAGCCAATATAATCAGATAAATCTTATCAAATCTAATCTAAATTCTTTACTGTACCTGTTACATAACTGCTTAAAGGGATTGTAAAAAAGTTTTCTAAAATTTTATTTATGTATCAGGGACACTGATAGCATCAATTTACACCATTCTAATTTTCAATCAGACATCTATGGTTCCTGCAATTCCTCTAAAACTAAGTGTTTGATGACGTCACTTATTGCCAAGGCCTTATGCGATATAGCGAATATTGGCTAAAACAATTGAAAGTCAAACAACCCACAAAAAAGAAATGAAACACAAATTTTCCAAAACCAAACCTTACCTTGAAGAACCCCCCAAAATTTGCAGTTCCATGGAATTTTCAATAGATGAAGACTGCATATAAAACATATTTTCAAAAGTATCCATTTTAAAAAAAACTGTAAGAAACTCTGCCCCGTGTTTCGAACAAAACTAATGATTGAAAATTGAAAAGAACAATTTGAGGTCCATCAATTTAAGAGACTCCACGAGGCTCGAAGGCAATTAGTGAGAGTTCAAAAAGGTCACCCACCAAATTAACCCAAATTCTGTCAAATCTAATTTGATATGCATAGCTTGACATGAGAATTGGGTGGCTGGGGGAATTCATGGTATTTGCCAGTCTTGTTTGATAAGAGTGCAAAAACGTATGGTTATTAGTTTGGTCTTGCTGGTAAAAATACAGTCAAATCAACAGTCAAGAAATCTAGTCAAACATAACTGGTAAATATCGCCAAATCAACAGCCTAAAGCAATATCAGATATGGTTCAGAGCTCCAGCCAAACAAATAAATGTCTATCAACACATGACTGGCAAATACAACTAAATCAACACTCCTTCCATAGATCATATGACCTAAACAAGATAAGAATAATAACAGGTTTTCTGTAGTAAAACCAAGTGACAGCTAGCTCATTATAATGACTATATCAGCAAATTGCTGGAAAAGGGAGTTTTACATCCTCTTAATGAGTGCAGAAAGGTAACATTTCATTGGTCTGCTTACAGCAGTCTTTATAAAGAAACCTCTTTACAATCCCTTTAAAAAGCTTAGAAAACTTCTTTACAATCCCTTTAAAAAGCTCAGAAAACTTCTTTACAATCCCTTTAAAAAGCTCAGAAAACTTCTTTACAATCTCTTTAAGCTACCCAGTTATGATCCCAAAACATGTATATAACATTTATCATTTAAATTGGGTCAGGGCGGTCCTCTGTTTACAAACTACGCATAACACATTTACCCTTGTTTTCTAAATGTATATGAGTCAGATAAAATAAAACCCTTTGATGTAGAAGTCCTTTATTCATATCAAGTTGTATCTATAATCATTAATGTCCACAAATTAACAACCCTGGGACAACTCACTCATTCATTTACCTTTTAAATTAGCCTGATTATCTACCTCTATTCCAGCCTCTGATAGATAGGTGAGTAAAAATCCCCATACAACATGGCCTAAATTTCTGTCTCTACACCAGCTGACAACTTTCAAAATAGCTCTCAGAGGCCAGAATAGAGGCAGATGTTTTGGAAAACTTTTAAATATGTACACAATGAGCAACTGTTTACAAAACACATTGCAGTTTTGGGAAACTGTCAATCAAACAAGGTCAAAGGTCAGTATTACGTAATGTAACAAATATGCATTACATAACATACTGTAACCAATATTGATATTTCTTGGCTAGTGTGGTCAAATTTCAAAAATTCTTTGGCTAATTTTCAAATAATCAAATAAAATGGATATTTACGGCACATCATACATTTCTGCATCATACAAGCAACACCATGCAGTGTGCAATGAGGGAAATTTTACCAGGACAACTGCATAAACCTACTCTTTATCTATTTCCAACTCTCAAGGGATCTTTAACGTGCACAGCCTGTAGCACACGGGGCCTCGGTTTATTGTCCCATCCGAACGACTATACACTTTTTCCATGTCAGCCCCCACCTACATATTTTGTACTGGATTTTGATTTTGATTTAAAATTTAGTACTCACGCTTTTTGACTGTAATCCTTCTGGACTTTACCATCCGCTTTTTTCATTTTCTATCTTTTATTTGATTTGGTTGACAAAAATGACAAATTTGATCATTCAATTAATTAACCTGTAAAATGAAAATTGGCTTTGTTTAAAATGACAGCCTGAATACACTTTTTTTTCGAGTCATAAAGCATTGGAGAGGGGAGAGATTTTGATTGGATTGGGGTGTCATCAACAGACGAATGTTCAAGAAGGCCGTCTGTAGACCCTAACTAGAGTGGCTATGCTTAAAATAAACGCTAATAAAAAATGGAAAGTAAGTTTGGTCTAATTTTGATTATCTTTTTACTTAAAATTTCCAAGCGTCGCTAGTTTTAAACATTGGAACAACCATTTCCATGCCACGTGAAAAAAACAGTCTGGTATTATTTTAATACAGCAATATACCAAAACCAACAAATTCAAAATTAAATTGGACTGTCCCTTTAAATTCTCTGCACAATATTTTCAAAACATTTTCATGCCCTTTAGGCTGGTCAAGGATCGTAAAAGTGTCTAAATGGAACAATAAACCAATAACGTATGCCTCAATCGTATTTACATTTTGATTCTGAAACTTGATATGGGTAAGAAAAGTTTATGCCAAAAGTTTACTAAAATATCAACAAATAAGACAACCCCATCACTTTAAAATTAACGTATTCAAATCTGTTAGACCATAACCTATTCGATGGTGCATTTTCTATAAATATCTGAAACGCATGTGCCAGAAGACAGCCACGTAAAAACATACTTTCCTTTTTTGGCTTTATAAACAAGAAGAAGCATGGAGTTTCATATAATTTGAACTGGCCAAAACTCTTCGTTATTCATTCGAATTCCGTAATAGCCACGAAATTTCGACAGTTTGTGAAAGAGAAATATATCGTACACAGTAAATACCTGAATTTTAACTAAGTTAATGCGTCATTTCACTAAAACACTCTAAATTTAGTCGACGACCTAAATATTATCGATGTTTACTATCCCAATCTGATGTCACGTGATCACCACGTGATCGAACAATTGTGTCATGGCAATTCGACCGGACGAAACGACCTCAAGGAAAAAAATTTGTGACGTTACGACCACATTTTTTCAAATTTTCGTCCGCTTTTCTTTATTTTGACGTGTGAGACTTATAACGGGTAGTCTAGTCTTTGTATGCGTATTCGGGACACTTATTACTTGTATTTGCAACATTCTGCTTTTACATCTGACCAAGCAGTGTGCAGTGAGGTTAATTCCTCTGTCTTGGCAAAATTTCCCTCATTGCACCCTGCATGGCATATCTTTAGCTTAATTAAGTTACCCCATTGCCCACAACCCACATTATCCACTGCAACTTTTTGCCCAAAATAACTGTCGTTTGCTGCACCAAATATGCCCATATATGGATATAGAAAAATCAGCTGATTTTAAAGTTTATTTTTAAAAAGGATGACGGAAAAATTAACAAAAACAAAATAAAGAAAATAAAATGGATGGTGAGGTCAGGAAGCCTTGCCGAGATCTATTTTTTTCTGAATTGCCCTGGCTGAGTGGTATATCATTGAATCTATCAAACCAGCAACTGAAAATACACAAAATATTCTATCAATACACTCCTGATCAGTGAGTTTTCTTAGCCCCAAAGGGAACTATAGCCCCAGAGTTTATGTGCTTAAAGTTAGCTTCGAGCTTCTTTATGTGTATCAGGTAGCACTGATAGCATCAATTTACACCATTTCAGATATCTCTGGTTCTTGAAGTTATAAAAATTCTTGTAATTAAAGGGATTATAAAGAGGTTTTCTAAACTTTTTATGTGTATCAGGGACATTCAAATAGAAGCCATAACAAGGGTCTTTAACATGCTCAGCGTTAACACTTTTTTCCCTGGGCCACTCTTGCTCTGTAAAAAGAAGTTAAGTCTCTGTTACCTGTAAATATTCCACCAATAATCGCACAAACACCAGTTAAAAAATGCATAAAAGATCTGAAACGAGGCGAATATACAATCAGATCATTAGAAGGAACATTTGAGTAAAAGTAATGTTCATATGAGCATAAGAATTGTTCCGTTTTCATTTGAGCACAAGTAATGTTCGATGAGCATTAATACTATTTGAGCATAAGTGAAGTACATTCTTCATTTAATTATAAGTAATGTTCATTTAAATTTTGAGCGCAAGTAATGTAGTTTTTTCATTTGAGCATAAGTAATTTTCACTAAATAATTTGAGTACAAGTAATGTTCATTTTAATTCAAGCACAAGTAATGTTCATTATAATTTGTGGACAAGTAATGTATATTTTTCATTTGAACACAAGTAATGTTCATTATGATTTGAGTGTACTCATTAGACAACTTGATGTTCATTACTTATTTGATCATAAGTAATTCATGACACATTTTTTGGAGTATTACCTTTGTTTTTCTGTATATTTGACCATCATGGGGGATAACTCATACATGAAAAAGACACCTGGTAGCCCTGTCTCCCCCATTCCACCACCCACAGTTTTAGAATGTTTGGTCACGGAAAACTGATTGGTGTACACAGTCTGAAATTAGAAAAAAAAAAACACCTCTAACCAGGAGCCACTTTCTCAATATTGGATCCTTAGGTTAAAATTTTGTTCAGAGAGGTGGGCAATGAGGTGAACTGTAATCATAATAGAAGATGATTTAAGCTCTTTACCTTTCCACGTAGGTTTGTATAGGTAGTTGGAACTATTTTTACAAAATATTGAAACATCATTTGCTCTGAAACAAATATGAAAAATAATGAAGTTTTACACCCAACTGATCTGAAGTTTTGAATAGGATAGGCTCAAAATTAGCCGTCCGTATCACCTTTCAGAAATAAAATCTGAGTTTCGGTTCTCCTGTCATTGTGCCAACTATCATTTGCAAAGGGATACAGGAGTTTAAATGCTATCTGTAACACTTTTCAAAAACAAAATCTGACTTTCTGTTCTTCAGTAATTAACCTTAACAGTACCACTGAAGTTGAGACTTTGTCAAAACCAAGACTATCTATCAGTACTTTCTCAAACTATGCCTGTATTACTTTTCATAATCCAAATCAAGCTTTATGTTCTATGGCGATTAACTAACCTTCTTCAGCCTTGATATTCAAACTATCTAAAGGGTTAACTAAGCCAGGATATTCTTCACCAAATGATAAGTGATTTATTCTATGGGACAAATTAAACTGAAATTTAAAGGGTTAAAGATCAACTTGTCTGCAATGGAAGTAAGGGAATGCCATGCAGTGTACAATGGAGTAAATTTTGTTAGGGTTGGGGTATTTATGAGCCTACTGGTTCGTCATGCTCAAGTCTGTCTACAGTTCTATAAAGAATAGTTACCACACTTGATGTCCTGATGAGGATTTGATATCAGGAGCACATGGAGGGTCTATGAGATGAACTTTGATAACCCCCCCCCCCCTCTCACCCAATAACGTAAAGGGCAAAATATTCATTCCTTACCTTTTGACCAGCAAAAGCTTGTAGATCATGAACTGAAAAAAAGTAACAGAAATTTTAGGCAAAATCCAACCTATTTTGGGATAAGTGAACACAATCTTTAGGCAGCCACTGTCGGATTTAAAGGAACTGGGATAAATAGCCTGATTCGCAGATATAGGATAAGTCAAGTGACCCACAGAAAATAAATGAAACCAAATTTCAGATGTCTTACCATGAACGTGATGTTGTTGAAAACTTTTTCCTGGTGCAAAATGAAAATTACCAGCTACCTTGAAAAATGAAATAAAGATTTAATACAGGCACTTAGCAAGGAACGTCCATGTTTTTTATTTAATTATTAACATTTTAATAATTTATACAGCCATCAAGAAAAAAAAAAGAAATTGGCTCTACCTTGTTGACTTCCAAATAACCATAAACTTTGCACCCTTCGTTTTTCTGTGACTTCATTTTCTCAGTCCAGCCTTCTCTATTGCACTGTTCTATAGACTCTGGGTTGTTGAAGGCCCAGCCTTTCCTTCTGTAAGCTTCTCTAACATTCTCACATGTATTACAGCATCTACAATATTACAAGGGCAACAACTCTTAAATAGCTAGCAGGAAATAAGTCAATTTTGACCTTTGAGAATCTCTTTGGTTTACATTAGCATAAAAGTTTCATTAAAATCAAATCTCATCTACCAATAAACGACCTATGTTTACTACATCGAGGGCAATAACTCTTAAATCATTTCTTAAAAAATTCATCGGTTTTGGAGGCGAGACATTTTCTTACTTTAAATCCTCAGTTTCAGCACCATAACAACTTTCACAGCGATTGGGATCTAGAGGTTTAGTCACTGCCTAAAATAGAAAATATCAGAATATAGAATTAAATGGTCTTTTAAAATGGACAAAGTAATTCACTGTGCAATGAGGGAAATTCAATCGACTTCAAACCATGGATGGATCACTAACAATGGATCTTGAGCGTGCACAGCCTGTAGCTCAATCAGCCTCTGATAAGTGTCCAATGCGGTTTTCTAGTCTTTGTTCTGTGGAACACTTATAGCTTCTATTGATTTTGTCTTTGGTTCCTGCAATTATAAGTATTTACATCAAAATATTTACCTCCACAAATTTTTCTGATGGATCCCCTAAAGCTAAAAATAAACAAAAACCGAATTAAGATTCTATTTCAATTCATACAGAAACATTTGGCAACTTTCCCACATTTTGAAGATAAACTTAAAAGGATTGGTTATCTCAAATATTTGCTTTACCACAGAAATTGATATACAAAGCTTTTTAGATAAAGTAAACCACAGTCCCATCTATTCATTGATAAGGGTGGATGGTTTTGATGATGATGCAACTCATTGAGTACCATATCAGCCAACCGTATCACTTCTCAGATTAGCACCAGCTTCAGAAGAAGATTTAACCAACCTGGGTGTTTTTCAGGAGTTTCTGATACAGCAGCACCATCTTTGTCAAGTCTGTGTTTAAATAAATGATGATCTACATCGATTTGTTGTTCTCCTGACACATCCATAGCGTCAATACTTAAATCTAGAAATACAAAATAAATTTTCAAAATATAGGCAGAACACATGATAGACAAAAAAATCATTCATATTTTCAAGATCAAAATTTGACATCTAGTTCATGTGCAATGCAATCAAAAACATACTGTTGGAAGTTTGAATGGCACTCATTTTGCAATAGCTGCTAATAATATCTGAAGGCCTAAATTTAGAAAACCTCTTTACAATCCCTTTAAGAAAACCAAAAATATTCCAAATCACTTACAAGAACAAGGTAATTTAGGGAAAGTAGCATCTATGTTGATTTTTAATTTCTGTCCTCTGGTCGTGTCTACGAATAACTCTGGTTGGATTTCTTTCGTTAGATAATAATTAATCTCTGATACAAACAATATTAACATAATTACACCACTCACTACAGTTACTGAAATATAATACAAGGGAGGTTTTAATATAAACAGGAGAGCTGTGGTGATTCAGTGAGTAAGACACTTATTTCCTAATCTGAGGAATAACTCAGTTGGGAATCAGGATAACTCGAATCAAAACAAACCAATGTACACTCAGACCACTTTTCATAACAGTAGTGAGTTGGATTGTCGTCATGCCTTCTGATTTTTCAACCTGGTTTCACCCTGTCAGTGATACCAGTCTGAGGGGCTGACATGGAAAAAGCGTCTGGTCAATAGGATAGGACAATAAACCAGGGCCCTGTGTGCTACAGGCTGTGCACGTTAAAGATCGCTCGACAAATACCAACTTTGGAATAAGCTTGATGTCACGCATCAGTGAACACATCTGACAGACTTTTGCAGTCAAGAATATAGCACAAGTGAGTAGTCGGACTGGCAGTGCCTGTTTCTGGGATTTTTGGAATCGCATAATAGCTGAGCAAAGCAGTTTACCTGCTGCGCCACCAAAGGTCTTAACCCTGAAATCTTCTAGAGTTTTGGGATAGGCATCGAACTGTCGAATTCTCTCAAAAACAGCCTTTCCTGACATCTTCAAATTCCGTGAAAACCATTAACGAATCAAAATCAACACCGTGTTGTTTTCTTTTCAGCCATTCAACTTCCGGTTATCGGACTCTTTGCACCTTCAAGATTGAAAACTAGAGGGCGTGTCTAAACACCGTAATGAACTATATAAAAAAAACTGAAACAAATATAAATGTCTTATTAATCGATTGTTAACCTAGGCTATGTTTCTTTAAATCTTGAATTGTTTGAATTTTGTTTAATAAAATTACGTTCGTGTTCAGAAAGGTGTAATATTTTATCATTCACAAGCATTTGCGACGATGTCGGTAGTGATTTCATATTTTCGGTAGTTAAAAGACCAAAAAGAAAAATGGTGGAGAAAATCAACTTTGAAGATACGAAAAACTAAAACTATAATCGTAGGCCTACAAATTGAAGACGTATGACAATATCTGAATGTTGAAAGCCTTTGTACACAGGTTGCTAACTTGTTATTCTGAAAATTCCAGCCAAAATGGCCGTTAATGTCTTAAACAAGCAAAGTTTATAAAAAGCGAAAGTAAAAGTTGACCTTTGTTTTTTAAAAAAAAAGGTGACACGCATTGCAGAATTTGAGCCACTATTTAAACAACTATACCCCACACCCCTGCCTTGTGTTTACAAAAGGTAAAATGAAAAGTTGATCAAAATTTGTGTTTAAAACAGGGTGTAAAACTCCATTTTATTTTCTCTTTGCAGTTGGATTGAGAAGTAAGTTGTCCAGGATGGATGAAGTTTCAAAGAGGTCAGTGATGTTGTTCCAATGTTCAATCTGCTACGAAGTGTTCAAAAGTATTGAAGAACTGCTGATACACAACAGTCAGCATGTTCAGGTCAAAGGTCACAAGTTGGTGGAGATCACCACGGAACCAGAGTATGAATTAGTGGATATGAATGACATTGAAGTGGCTTGTGATGTGGAGGTTGGAACCGATGATTCTGGTACAGTGATCCTAGAGGAGTCTCCTGGAGTACCAGTGCCAGTACAGAATCCAGAAGAACTCTCAGACAAAGCAACAGAAGCAAGTGATGATGACTCTTCAGTTACTGAGTCAGATCTCAGTGACTCCATGGTGGACGAACCAGCCTGGAATGATTTTGAAATGAAATTCAAGTCCAGTTCCCAAAATAAAAATCTGGTCTTGAGCGAATATGTTAAAGACACACCTGCATCCTTGATGAACATGAAGAATTCAGAGCTGTTGAAATACATTGAAGCTGATCATGGTTTGCCGGCCAGTAGACAAGCATCACAAGCATCACAAGCATCACATCTAGAAGATCTTATCAAGACAGAGCTGCCTTTAAAGTCTCAAGACTTAAACCAAAGTCCAAAGGAGAAGTATGACTCAAATTTGGACAATGTCTGCAATAAGTGTGAAAGGCGTTTTTGGAATGCAACTGCCTTGATGAAACACACTTGTGAAAGTAGCGAGCATCCTTACAATACCAGGCGAAAATCCTCGCCCATAAAATTAAAGGTGAAATTGGCTCAAAATCCCAGACCTTACAGCTGTTCCGTGTGTGATAAAAGGTTTTCCAATACACATACTTTAAAGAAGCATGAAGTCACTCATGCAAAGTCCATGCCCATAGCCGGAGCACGGCAGAAAAAGACTAAAAATAGATCAGCACGTAAGAACCAAGTTTTTACGTGCGATATATGCAACAAAACGTTCAAGACTGAAATTTTGTATGATATTCATGTCATGTCTCACGCATCCCAAACCAGCGAGAATGTGCATGCGTGTGATATGTGTGACAAGGTCTTTTCAACTGCTCAATATCTAAAAAAGCACTGGTTAAGGCATGCAACAGAAAAACAGTTTAAATGCAACGAATGTGGGAAGGCTTTCAAAGTAAAGAGTGACATGCATAATCATGCAAAAACGCATTATGAATCGTATTCAAAGAAACAAACTCCCACCCAAAACTTTTGTGAAATATGCGGCAAATGTTTCAGTACCAAGAGCAATTTGTTGAAACATTATGTCATCCATTCGAACATCCGCGATTTCAAGTGTGAACAGTGTCCAAAAACATACAAAGCGAAAGGCGAACTGACCCGACACATTAAAAGCAAACACAAAAATTTGAAATTCAAATGTTCACAGTGCCCAAGACAGTTCACATCATCGTATTATGCTCGGTTGCATGAACGTTCACATACAGGAGATGACTTGATATACTGTGAAATATGTGATAAACAGTTCTTCGTTCATGCCACATATGAACGACATCGCATTACCCACACTGGAGAGAAACCATTCGAATGTAAGATTTGTGGTAAATGCGTTACATCGAATTCTTCCCTTCAGAGTCATATTTTGATACATAAAGACCAAAAACCACATAAGTGTAATGTATGTCAGAAGTCTTTTATGTCCAGGCTTCACTTAAACGACCACAAAACAATCCACACTGGCTCAAAAACACATAAATGTGGCTACTGTAAAAAGGCCTTTTATCATCAGCGCTCACTGCACAGACATTGCAAAAAGAAGCATCAGGGAAATTCGATGAAGATCTCGATGAAAAATGCTGTTCAGAAAGAAGAATCAAGTGAAGAAGATTCCGAGATTGAAGAAGAAACTGAAGAAGATTTAAGCAGTGATTGTGACTGAATGAACTGAAAAGTGACTGAATAATGACTGAATAATGACTGAATTTAACTGAAAAGTGGCTGAAAATTGTATCAAATACAAAGAAGTTGTTATGAATTATCAATAAAATTTTAAGTAAAGTTTCCCTCATTGTACAATGTCAACAGATCTAGACTCACTCTTAAGAACCTAGAAAAGGGATTCAAACCCATGGCACTCAATGCAGAAAAATCCTAATAGCAGAACTTTACCCTACATATAATTACATTCCCTTGGGAGATCCACGAAGTTCCAATTATCTGGAAAGGCTTCAGAACACAACCGTTTGATTTGAACATCAAATTTTGGAGTTGCTTCCCTTTGGTCAAATTTCTCTTGTACTTCACTGCGTTTGTATAGGAAGGCACCACTATAAGAATGAGATCCATGGCAAATAAGTCGCTAATATTCAAAGCAGCACTGAATAGGAAGGGAGAGGGGGGACTCTAGATTCCGGACAACAGAGTTCCGCTGGTAGGAAATACCCCCTTTGTCACTTTAGGACCCTAGGTAAAATTCTACCCTCTGTAAAAAGTGCGACAACTTAATCTACAAAAATCAAAAGACAGAATGCAAAGAGTCGAGTTCAAAGATAAAATATATATCCCCAAAAATCTCACTTAATGGTCCCCGCTCAAAGCTCTCTGTTACGTATACCCAATGCCCATTAGATCCAACGCAACATGAAAAACATAATCAATAATCATACTCTAAGCTACGTCAACAAGCTCTTGCAAAAAATATGAATGTCGTCAACACAACACAGTCTGAAAGACAATTTTCTAGAAAAGCGAACAAAAAGCCTTTTGTAGTCTCTATTAAATTATTTATGCTCTCAGGTTATAAATAGTCGTTATGAATAAGACTATTGATTCGTAAACTAAAGCAGTAAAGTAGGATTGCTGAATGAATTTCCGGTACTTAATGCACGGACGATAAGCACAATGAAGGCAACTCATTATTAAGTTAGGAGGAGTGCTTTATACCAGTATTGTAGGCAAAGGGTCTCAAATCAACCTAATCTAATGAAACTTAAGTACGATTTCGTATCTTTATTTGTTTTCTGATATTCTTCGTCTCCATAGTAATCTAAGAAGTTTTCTACAGCTATTTTGTTCTAACGAGATCATTTTTAACCAATCAAAGCGCGTCATGGTGGATGCGAACTCCAATGTGGAAGTGCCCCTTTCCCTATCTTATCTTCAAGTCGACGTCCTTCCCTGTTTATCTCAGCTCTATTTTATTGTCGAACTGATATTCCGTCCCCAAAGCCATGCTTCTGACCTATTAATGGTCGACGTGCTCCCTACCCATTTTCGACACGTTCTCCCCCCCACCTATAAAACAGTGGCGTTTCTATCTGAAATATCAGGTGAGGGGGGCGAGTAGAGGCAACACAATTTATCCAAGAGGGGCCCCAGGCAATTCTTTCACTCATGATACAAGCCCCCCTCCGCCGCTTTTACTATTTTCAAGACGTCCTACATCTCAATGTTCGCAGGTCGACGAGCCCCCCTCCACTCCCCCCACACTCCCGCTACGGACACCCGTGGCTACACATAAGTGAATATAATTGTTCATTCTACAATATCTGTTAATAAAATAAGAATCAATCCCCATTGGACAATGGTATCAAACGTCATTTTATTGATCCTGGGGAAGAAATTTCTCGCGCTGCCATGGCAACTAGAGTTTTCCAATACAACTGAAAGCATTTTATTGAATCGGAACGCGAACACAAGTTTTAAGTCTTAAGCTCTAGGAAGTCGTTTTCCGGTAACATAAATTAAATTTCGATTAAGGCTGGAATAAATTGGTATTTTTTTTGTTTTCTGCGAGCCGGTAGTTTTCTCACGTCTGCAACGAAAAAATGTACAAAAACAAAGGAAATACTAAAGCGAGCGACGCGGGAAAAAGATCGTATGGTGCTGACGAAAAAGGCAGACGAAGTGATCGAATAGACAGGTTATCAGAAAGGCAAATCGAAGGTAATTTATTCATTTTATTATTTTTTGCATCGCTTATTTTCTCATCCGGAATCTTCTTTTTTTTATTGTCGATTCCTCATCACTGTCCGATGAGACCCCGCACGAGGGTACCATTTTTGAAGAACTTTCTAAAGCTGTGCTATAGGGTTCCATAATCGCTTTCCAATTTCTCTCAATTCTAAGATAGGATACCTTAACTTGGACAAGTAGGGTATATCACTTGTGGTATTGACTAAATGCTATGCTAAATAATGCTATTGTATATAATGCTATTCTTCGACATATAATATAATTCTTCATCATATTATGCTATTCCATGAAACCCTTTTATACATAGTGCTATGCCATCATTTATGCTACACAAAAGCACAATGCTATAGTGCATAATGCATAATAGGCTATTCTACATTATTCTATAGCATAGCATGATAATCTATATAGATTTATACAATGCTATAAATATCCTACATAATGCTATTCCATAAACGTAATTATACATAATGCTATCCTATTATATAACATTATAATTATATGCCCTTCTTCATAATACTAAAATATATAATGCTATTCTATATAATGTTATTCTATATAATGCTAGACTACAAAATGTTGCTCTACACAATGTTATTCTATATAATGCTATAATTATATTCTTTATGATGCTACTTTACATCATGCTATAATTATATTCTTTATGATGCTACTTTACGTCATGCTATAATTATATTCTTTATGATGCTACTTTACATCATGCTATAATTATATTCTTTATGATGCTACTTTACATCATGCTATAATTATATTCTTTATGATGCTACTGTACGTCGTGCTATAATTATATTCTATATGATGCTACTGTACGTCATGCTATAATTATATTCTTTATGATGCTACTTTACATCATGCTATAATTATATTCTTTATGATGCTACTTTACATCATGCTATAATTATATTCTTTATGATGCTAGTTTACACAATGCTATCATATATAATGCTATAATTATATTCTATATAATGCTATAATTATATTCTTTATGATGCTACTGTACGTCGTGCTATAATTATATTCTTTATGATGCTACTGTACGTCGTGCTATAATTATATTCTTTATGATGCTACTTTACATCATGCTATAATTATATTCTTTATGATGCTACTTTACATCATGCTATAATTATATTCTTTATGATGCTAGTTTACACAATGCTATCATATATAATGCTATAATTATACTCTTTATGATGCTACTGTACGTCATGCTATAATTATATTCTTTATGATGCTACTGTACATCATGCTATAATTATATTCTTTATGATGCTACTGTACATCATGCTATAATTATATTCTTTATGATGCTACTTTACATCATGCTATAATTATATTCTTTATGATGCTACTTTACATCATGCTATAATTATATTCTTTATGATGCTACTGTACATCATGCTATAATTATATTCTTTATGATGCTACTTTACATCATGCTATAATTATATTCTTTATGATGCTAGTTTACACAATGTTATCATATATAATGCTATAATTATACTCTTTATGATGCTACTGTACATCATGCTATAATTATACTCTTTATGATGCTACTGTACACCATGCTATAATTATATTCTTTATGATGCTACTTTACACAATGTTATTCTACATAATGCTATAATTATTATCTTTCTACATCATGCTATATTCTATAACATAATCTATTTCTAAGTTTTTTCACATGCTATATTGCTAGGGTATGCAATATAAATTCAAATTCAAAGTAACCATTTCCTTTAATTGTACATAAACATTGAATAATGACCACTTGAACGGTAAACAGGAAAGAAACTAGTAGGTTTATCGATCAGCCATAATGAAATAATGCTATCAAATAGAGCCCATTAGAATCATTAACTGGAAGCAAATGGCTTTATAAACCCGTTACGTAATAACTGCCAGGCAAATTCCAATAATTTATAAGGCAATATCGGCCTTGTTTGATTGAAACGACTTGCCCTCGGGTCAAAATTTAATCAATTAGATTACGAAATGAAATTCTTATTTGATTGAATTGATAGTTGAATTTCATGACCAATAAATGAAATAAATTGGAGTTTTACATCCAAAAACGTGAATGTATATGGGCCTTGTTTGATTAAATCCATTTGCCTTCTGGTCAGAATTTGATAAATTACGACTACGTTTCAGTTTGAAAGGCATTTAAATTGTTGTACATCTAAAGTGACTTGACAATATCAGCCTTGTTTGATTGAATCGAATTTCCTTCGGGTCAAAATTTGATCAATTAGGATTACGTATTAGTTAGGAAGAAATTTTCGAAAAGTAAATCAAAGTGAGTAAAGTATTGCTCCTTGAAGCCTTACGGTGTGCAAAGAGGTAAATTAGTCAGGCGCAGTTATGCTATTTCCAACCGTCAAAGGATCATTAACGTGCATAGCCTGTAACATGGGTCTGAAATTCACTTAACATCTTTGGATACTAAAGTACTTCACGAGTAATTGAATTTTCCAAACGAAAGAGACTCAAAATCCGCCATCATTGTTACACTTCTTTCGCAGATGTCGAGCAATGTTTCACGTCTTCAATTCCCCGGGGTAAAAACAGCCATTCAATTATATCAATTGTGTAGAAGCTGGTCTTACAAATTGACCTTCTTCTCCATTTCTGTTTGCTGGTAATAGACCGGTTTCTTATAACGGTAAAAACCGTTTAGAGCTGCACTGTCGAGTTGTATTTGTGTTAAAACGGTTTTGCATATCCTTAGAATATGTTTTACAATTTAGGAAAACATGCCCGAAAGCAAAGCATAATGTAGAAGGCTTTTTTGTTCTGTTTGTGTTAGTAAATCGGTTTTACGTAATGCAGAATATCGGTTCAGTGTAAATTATATGGACCCGATATTTACCGGTTTAACATAACCAAAGTTGGCTACCGGTTTCACATAACCTGAAAAGCGTTTTATTGGAGTCAGTTTGGTTTTGGTTCAAATATAAAACGGTTTTACATAACTCGAGGACCGGTTTATATGAGCCCGTGCTATTTATGTTAAGATGACGGTTTTACATAGCCCGAGGAAACGTTTTAAGCCAGTTTTATTTCTGTTAAAATACCGGTTTCACATAATATGAAAAACATTTTTTTTGGGACCAGTTTTGTTTGCGTCAAAATGATGGTTTTAAAACCGTTTTTTTTTAATTTGAGCCAGTTCTATTTATGTTAAAATACCGGTTTCACATAACCCGAAAAACGGTTTATAATAATGAACAAAAATAACGGTTTACTGTGAGTTAACATCAACTCGAACGAGTCATTTTTTCTCTTTCAAATGTCTTGTTTTTATTGCTGGTAATGCTTTATCGATTTTTCATTCACCGAGTTGTTTTTTAACCCTTTAGTAGCGAGTGAAGAAGCTGGGATTAAACAATGAAATTAGTTTATTGGCTGATAATTGAGAGATGTCACGTTACAAACCTTTACGGTCATTTTGTTACTAAGGTTAAAGCTACCATGAACTCAGAAAAGAAATGTAGTTGGTCATAAAAAGGTTAAAGCTACCATGGACTGTCAAAAAGATATTTTTTTACTTTTTTCTACCCGATAAGGAATGCATTAAGCAAACTTTATCGGTCGAATCGCCCACTCGGAATTCGTTTCAGAGAGTCCACATTGCCTTTTTACCCGAAACACCTGATGATGCGCTGTTATTTGTTATTCAAATTTCAATTCGGTTTAGGAGAGTTCACATGGCAAACAATATTTAGTTGTTTTATCTACCCTTTAAGGAACGCATTATACCACTCTACCACTGGGTTTGTTCACCCAGTATCTATTTCAGAGATTGCACACTCTTTTTCGAGTGTTTATTATTTTGGTTTTTACTATTCTACAATGACCTTGTCCGATCTCTTTTGTTAAGTTTGATCACATTTCAGAGACTCTTTAGAGCTGGTCACGTACAGAATTTCAATAATGGGTCGATCTTACAACACAATGCCCTGATCGATCTTACATTGATTGACAAACACTTCTGTTGGCCAGTAGGAACCAAACAACCAATGGACAGCTAACTTAATTGCTCCTGTTCGATGATGCTAATGCGCAAGTCTGCCTATGATATCTTTCAAACTTTCATCGGAGTTAAGGAGTAGAGAGGAACTTGATCCGTTTTCCCGGAAGCCCTCTTTGAAACACCCCACCAACTGATCAATCGGCAAATTTCTATGAGCACATTCTTTCCAGTCGGCCGATATTATGTCGTAAGTTTATTATATCACACATCCCCACAGAGTGGCTAATTGATGCGTCCAAAATTGTCAAGCTTTCCAACTTTCTGGACCTTCTTTGGAACACTCCACCAAAACTGTCCAGTCAGCAATTTCCATGAGTACAGACGTTCCAATCGGCTGATATTATGTCGTAAGCTTTATTACATTCTGTCTCCCCAGAGACCCAGTGAATTACCTTAATTGGTCTGTGATCTTATAACAAAATATAATTGCTCCATCCCGAGTCGATAGATATAGAGCATCCGACACGAAAACTAAAACGAGATTAGTAAAGTAATTTGGCGAGCCTGGAAGTAATTTTTCTTTTTGAGATCAGTGAGGGCATCTGACTTGAAATATTGTGTATTAAACGAGTTAAGTAAACTTATTTGTCGAGTTTAGAAATAATTTCTTCCCGAGATCAATAAGAGCACACGACACGTGATATGGTTTCTAAAACAAGTTTACTAAAGTAACTTGGCGAGCATATAAGTAATTTTTTTCCGAGATCAATAAGAGCAAACGACACGTAACATGGTTTCTCAAACGAGTTTACTTAAGTAACTTGGCGAGCATATAAGTAATTTTTTCCGAGATCAACAAGAGCATCCGACACGTAATATGGTTTCTCAAACGAGTTTAGTAAAGTTACTTTACGAGCCTGTAAGTAATATGTTCGTGGCTTGTACTACGCAGGCCGTATCGACCATCCCTCACTCATTTACTCGCTATTTGACCGACTTCTACTCTACTACTAGAAAACATTGATTGATCTATACTGAAACCTTCCGATTAAAAATTAATTACTATGGAATTTGCTTGTTTACTAGAATTAAAGGGATGACGCCATCTAAATTTTCTATGTTCATTTCGTTGTTTACCAAATCTAAAGGGATAATGTCACCTAATTATTCTATTTCCCTATTGTTGTTGGCTGCTACCTCCCGTTCAGTGAGTTCGCTTTATTGCCCAAACGCTTCGAGTTCGAGTTATTCGACGAAAATTGGCATCATTTCCGGTTTAGAATATCGCCTAATACTACAGATTATAAACTACGTGGTACCTTTGAACCAAAAGATCGAAGAGTATAGTGAATATCGTTATTTTATTACTCCGGCATCGGATTCTAAACTATATGGCACAGTACTTTTAAATCAAAATTTCAGGGGATGTATCCCTTTAAGAGAGCTCTATCGATCTTAAGATATTGACAACGAAAATCATTATTTACAATACCGTAGTGTATTTCGCTATTATATTATAATACTCTTAAAGGTCAAAAATGTCTATTCTTGGGTTATTATGGAAAAACGTCCCCCTGAGACCATAATCATGTTTGCACCAACACAAATATACCAAATAAACAATATTTACTGGTGACGATCTCAATCGCAGAGCGACAAACAATCAATATAGCTACGTTGGGTCGAAAAGGACGGAGGGTGATAAACCCAACAGCAGAATGTCAACCAATTAAAAACTCATAGCCAGAAATTGACAGTTCTAAATATTTACTTAGCAAGCTGACGAAACGTTTTTGAATTTGTTACTTAAAATTTAGAATTTCGTATTTTTCAGATATTCGAAGAACGTTTGAACTGTTTGACAAAAATGGCGACGGTTGTATCGACGCCTGGGAAATCAAAGATGTCGTCCATAGCCTTGGTCAATGTATGTCAGAAGGAGATATAGATTTACTCGTCAAAAACGTCGATAAGGACGGTAAGTACTGGATATTCGCGTCAATAAATTTGATTGGTTGATGGCTTAGTCTTCGACCAATTAGATTTCTTGAAACCAAATATGGCGCGAAAATCATTCAGCATACTCTTTATGTAACGCTATTGCTTATTGGTCAATTTGAATAATGACGTAGGTAGCACATCGAATACTTTTTAAGTAACAGGATTGCTAATTGATGAATTGAAATGATGACGTAGGTGGCACAAAGTGCGCGCACATGTGCGTGTAATTGGGCTGGGTGTCGGCGAGAACATCTTACTAGTGGATCAAGGGATAGATGTGGAACAGGCTCGCACACCCTTGACATATCAACCCCACTTTGCACCTTCGGAGAATGTTTTGTAGGCATTGTAAAACTGGCTAATTCATTAACACTAGTCCATATATTGAAAACCAGTTAATCGTGACTGCTCGAATATTGATCGAAGTTCTATTTCCGTAAGCTTGACTGGAGCAATTAGCAATTATCCTGTAAATTACTGAGTACAGATATAAACAGATAACAGATAAATTCTGTTGACCAATTGGCCAGATTTTACAGAAGATAACCATAATCGGCGTGCACCCAGCGGTTTAGATACTATTGATTTTTAAGATTTGCCGATTACATGTTTCCTATCATCGTGCTATTAATTCCATAGTCACGCATGTTTTTCCATTGAATAACATTTAATTACAAGCCGGAAGATCCTAAATTAACAGGCCAAAGATTGTTCCAAGACGCCAAAAATTGGAACCGGAGAAAAACTTTGTTGATGAGACCTTTGACAGCACTAAAATTCCGCAACCTAAAGATTTGGGGAAATGATATCAGAATCTATTGGTTTCAAGGGATAAATATTGAACCGACTCGAGCTACCATTATTGAATCAAATGTAGATAGAAATATGTATCGACCGGATCAAGGGATAGACTTCGACCAAAGTCACACCACCTTTGAGGCATCATTTGAATCGTGGCATTATCTTTGCAGGAAATGGTACTGTAGATTTTGAAGAATTTCTCCACCACTTCGCCCCACGCTATCGAACCAAAGAACAAGTCGAAGCAGAAATGATGGAGGCCTTCCGAGCTTTCGACAAGAACGGAGACGGATATATCAGTGCCCACGAGTTGAGAGTTGCGTTAACGTCCGTTGGTGAATGTTTAACGGACGCTCAAGTCGATGAGGTCTTACGAGATGCTGATAAGGACGGAGATGGTCAAATTAGTTACGAAGGTAAGTCACTACGGCTTGTCTCTTTCGGAACGTCGGACGTTGCAACGAAACGATTCCGTATCCGACGCTCTGAATTTAAATATGATTTTGAGGTGGCGTGACGCTATGATTTGGTATCTGACGTGACGCTATGATTTGGTATCTGACGTGATGCTATGAATTGGATTGGCATCACGCTATGAATTTGAAAGGGAAAGCATAACAATTTGGCATGTAAAAGACTTCGAGCATCACGAAGAGACAATGGAAGATGGATGCAAATTTCTCGAAGTAAGCCACTTTGGATAGACCAAATCGGAGATCCCCGAGTTTGCATTGCTAATAAATGTCCTCCATTTTGTTTTTTCAGAATTTTCTAAGTATCTGCTTTGTGGTATGTAGGCGGCTGTTAACCAATCACAAGTGCTACTTCATTAACCAATCAGATTTAACCTAACAAGGGAGACGACTCTATTATACTTTTGAATCTTTCTTTCTTTTGCCCCTTTTGTCTTCCATAATTGAGTTATGGATAAATTTGACGTTAAAAGTCTTGGCGCGAAATTTTACAACAGAATCCAAAATGGCGCGTACAAGGCATTGGTGCCGGCGAAGGTTTTAGGCATAGATTTATTTATTCGGTAGTGGAAAGATGGTTGAATGGCAAGCTAGGTGTAGGGCATGTGTGGCCAAGTTTGAATTAAGAATTCTCGACCATTTATATTCTTCGTTAGAAAAATCTTAGTGAGACGTTGGTAAGCCAATAGGCTTAAAAACCGTTAACATTGCAAAGTATCAGACTACACTATTCACAGTTATTTCCCTTGTTTGCTGTTAGATTTACATATAAATTCTCATACTAATATCCATTTTTGTCGACATCGATTTTATTAGTTTAGCAATTAGTTAATTAGTCCGAAAAACTCAGACTCTTTCTCTTCTGCCAGTCCTTGTAGATGTTCGAAGATGTTACATGGTCGCTGATTGGTTACTTTGAATACATCAAAATCCCAGACTAGAAAGTGTCAGATTTTATCAGACTAATATATCCCAGCCTAAAATATGACCTATTCATTGAAATGTGTACGAATGCCTTTGGGCACTATGCGAATTTCATTCCGCACTATATTAACGAAGGATGAATGAAACACCAACTGCACATCCAATGGGATCAACGGAGGTTTTCAACGATAAACCAATGTAACAGGCGATCGCATTTAAATTTACATGATCACGTAAAAGAACACAGAAATTGACATGATCACATGAAAGAAAACAAAAATTGACGTGATCAAATTAAAAGAAAACAAAAATTGACATGATCACATTAAAAGAAAACAAAAATTGACGTGATCACATTAAAAGAAAACAAAAATTGACGTGATCACATTAAAAGAAAACAAAAATTGACATGATCAAATTATAAGAAAACAAAAATTGACATGATCACATTAAAAGAAAACAAAAATTGACGTGATCCACACTATAGCGCGAAAATTTCGATGTGATCACATTGGGTAATGCGTTATCTGCGATTTCGTGTCGCATTCGTTTATGTTGAAAATCTTTTCTTTGTCTTTGTTATTGTTTTTATATAGTAAATTTAACTTTTATCTTCGTCTTGTGATATGCACTCAGTTCAAGTTTCTGAAACTTACAGATATACTTTGAACTTTTGACCTTTCCCTTTGAAAATCATAGGGGTGACTAAGAACTCGATTCAACTCCATAGTACCTAATGGAAAATTTCATTGTGTTACTTGGAATAATTGTTCCATCACTGCCATTGAGTTGAATTGAATTCAAATTTGGTGGAATGTAGCTCAATTTTGGTGGTTTTATGATATTGTGAACGCACCAAAATTGCACATGTTTGAATGTATATTTTGTAATTTTATGAAATTTACGAAGTTTGCACCTTTTAATGCACAATTTTTCAATATTATTAATTGTTACTAGTGAATGGATAAATTTTAAATTTTTTCCGAAGTTCTGCCAAATACGGGACAAACTTACCGATTTTCTTTGAACCAAAATATTTTTTTCCCTTATTTAGGCAATTTAGGCAATCTAGAGCTAATGGGCAAACAAGCCTTAGCTGGCAAACCAGGCTTAATGGGCAAACTAGGCCCAATATGACTTATTACGTCTATGTACACACATACTGTTCTACATATTACTTCGGGTTATTTCTTTTTTTCAGTTACTTCACACATTCCAGATCTAACAACATTTCCACGAAAAGCATGTTCATAAATTCAACCAATAAATTACTCTGCTCAATACATGCTTTTGTGACAACTTCAGTGGATTCTTGTTTTAACTTTGCACAAATTTTAATAATGCACCAAGCAACATCAAGACAAACTAGATTGTTCCATCTTGAATGAGTGAAGTAACCCATTGAAAATAACATAAACAAAAATATGTATTCAAATTGTCCTTCCTAACAAGAGAATCTATGTCTAAATTTTCAACTTACTTTAAAGATATCTGTTATTGTAATACTTATAAAAGGTTTTTTTTTTCAATTTAATAAAATATTTCCATGATTTTTTGTTATTATTACCAAAACCTTGAAAGGGGTGTTTTTGAATGTGTTTCATGACCAAGAAATGATGACCCTGATGGCATGGCAACTTGTCACATAGAGCTGCTGTGACACATGACACTGTAATAACACATAGACTGGCATAGCACATATCACTATCACAACACATATAATAACATAACACGTCACATTGTGACTACACACAGCATTGTCAAGACCAATTAGATTTTTTCATGACTCAGAAATGTCATGCAATATTATTTTCAATAACAGCTTCCATGACGCATATCACCGTCATGACCAATTAGATTTTCATGACCTACAGCACTGTCATGAATATGAATAATATTCCAGGACTCAGAACAATGAGATTAATGACAATCGAAAACAATAAATTACTCAAAAAAAATCAGTAAGAATCAGGGTTGTTACAGATAACAAGAAAAATGTTTTTCCATTTTTCCCAGCTGTTCCTTGGCCAAATCTGTTTGTATTTATCTTGCTTGCATTATCTTTATTCAATTTTCATGCTTTAACAAATCAATGTAAAATCAGTAAGAATCTTACACAACATGGAAAACATTTATGGCACTGAATCTACTTCATGACCCATCCAAAAAGAAATGAAAATTACAAAAAGAAAAATTCTTTACTCGAAATAAATGCCTATATTTATCACAAATTCCTTATTTTATATAATCATAATAAAACAATTGTAAAGTTTCTATTTCATTACAAAATCATGGGTTGGTCTCATTCTTCCACAATGGGAATATACTAAAAAAAATTCTACGTCTACGCATGAGGGACACACAGTTATCTAACTTATACAAGCAGCTGTGATGTTTTTTATAAACTATACGGCATTGGCTCAACTACTATATGGACTGGTTGAACGAAGTCCACAGGCCTATGATAAAAAAAAACTTTCCCAGGGGGGGAGAGGCATGGGTCTTTACTTATCTTGTTGATCCACTGTTATTAGATAGGGAGCTGAGATGGGGCAACAGAATTTTCAAGGGGGTCAAATGATAGGAAATTTGAGAGTGGAATGGGTGGGTCAGGGGATTCGTTAGAGGTATTTCTGGTCCTTCCAAATTATGTGTTGACCGTCTGATCACAGCAACCAAAAACATTCATCTCCACGAGGTTAATCAATTGAGCAATTATTTCCAATCACTATCCATAAGATTGGTGGCAAGATAATTTTTTTAGTAACCATTGGTAACCATGAAAACTACCCATAGCAACCATGAAAACTGTCCTTAGCAACCACGAACAATGTTATAATAACCATGACAACTGCCTATAGCAACCATGAAAATTGTGGAGTAAGTAACCATGATAACATCCTTAGCAACCATTGACTGCAGTGTTTTTGGCAGCAATAATGGAGTCCTTGAGATAAATGATGAATCGGAAGACATCATGGAAGGAACAATACATGGGACACGGTGAGATACGAATCACTCTAGGTAGGCGCTCATCACACTGTAAAATTGAGGAAATTTTTAAGGAGTTTTACATCCTTCATCTTTGGGCTAATTCTACACATTTTAAGGCTAATCCTGGACCTTTTAAAGCTAATCCTGGACTTTTTGGGCTCATGGAGATCGCAGGTGCATTGATTGAGTCCTCTTTTGATTTTAAGCTCCAGAGGGAACTTTTTATGTACATGGTCTGTAGTACAGTCTAATCGAAAAAGACTACCAGATGACAGATGGTAGCAGATGCTAGCAGATGACAATTCAAGTTAATGCCCAAAGTCTTTCATTGGGCTGCCCACTGATCTATCCATGGGCTACCAGCTTGGTACAAACCAGGTTGTGCTGCCCAAAGAAACAGTTTTAAAAAAAGAATACTTACTATGACCCCACGTTTACAAAGTTCCTTGAAGATGTCCTTAATGCCAATACTAAATGACAAAGACAGCTGAGCTCCACGCTGTTCAGGGTCTTTGGGAGTAAAAATATGGATTTTGACGCCAGTTTTGTTATTTTCTTCTCCAAACTCTTTTTCTATCATCATTTCTAAATAGCCTGTCAATAACTTTGATTTTGCTCTCAGCTGTTCCATGGATGTTTTCTTGAACACCTAAGAAAAAAAAATTTGGATATCTTAAAAATGTGGTTCTCAAATCCGAAGCCTAAATTCAAATCTGATGTCTGGTTCTCCAACCAATCAATCAAAGAAAAATGTACCTCTCCAGATATTAAGGTTAATATGTTTCTCTTAGACATACCTCAAAACTGGCCTTGAGTGTAGCACAAAGTAAGCCTGCTGGATTGGAGATGCGGTAACCATAGATACCTGGAGACAGATCCATTACTAAAATATAGGACAATAAAATCTGGGATTAATGCAAAATAAAACTGGTAGACATCTGGTGCTAAAACAGATGGGCATTCCATGGTATTTTGACACAGACAAAGGAGGAGGTGAAGATACTATGGAGATATTTGGTGCTTTTCATCCAAGAGCTCAAGGTAAGCAAGCAAGTGCTGCTGAGTTTAGTGAATGAGTGAATGTTACTAAAAATAGCAACTTACCATTGTCCATCACAAATCTGGTGTCCATCTTGTGGCCCCACCAGCCCAGTAGCTTGGGGAATTGGTTGTCTTTATGTTTTTCGTGGAGGAAAGCACCACCGATTCCACCAGCACCACTAGCCAAATACTGGAGATAAAAATGAAAAAAAATACTTCAACTGTTGCAGAAGGTCCTGAGTGCTACAGGCTGAGCATATTTAAGATCTCTCTGCAGTTTGAAATAGAAAAACAGAAGTCTTCTTCAGCTGCTGTTATGGGTTTATTTCCCTCATTGAACACAGCATAGCATGAAGTTTTATTAGTTCAATCTGGAGCAAAAAAGTACAATATAGTACTCTCTTTATGGAAATTTCCATCATTGCTCACTGTCTTCTTGTACCAATGAAGCCAGAAAAGTTACCTTGTATGTACACCAACAGGCAAAATCCACACCCCAGTCATGCAGTGAAAGTGGTACATTGCCTACAGCATGGGCCAGATCCCAGCCTACAAAGCATCCCTGAAAATAGAAAACATATGAAGTCCAATTCCCCCTGAATCATCTTCCATTTATACTGTCCTTTTTCCCTTATCAATCCTTTGGTAAATTTTCCCTCTAATTTTAGTACTATTTAGTCTTATTCCCTTTACATCCTTCCATCGAACAGGTTTTCCCCCTGTATTCCCTTCTAATTCCCCCTGTTATATCTAACTGTGTAAGCTCAGTATCTATTAATCATTGGCAAAACTTTCCCCATGAAATCACTTTTCCCATTTTTATTCCAATTTTGACTGGACGCCAGCGTTCCCTCCTATTTCCCACAGTTATATTTACCTGTTTATGACCAGCTTTGGTAATAGTAGGGATATCAAAATACTGTCCTGTGTAATACTGGACACCAGATAAACAGATTAGAGCCACTGTCTGGCCTTCCTCTTCAATCTTGGCCAGGATATCCTCTGTTCTTAAAGTTGTCTCCCCCTGGATAAGAAGAGAGTACAGCTAGTAAAATAGATCTAAGTTGAGGTGACGGAATTTACATTGAATACTCGCTCTCGCTTTAGTGAGTTAAACTTGGAATTAGGCAAATTTTCTACCAACAGGTCAGCAAAAATTTGTGGACTTACCTCCCTTGGGTTGATGAGGACAATAGAAGATGCTGGATCAAAGCCATGCAGTTTTATCTGACTCTCAAATGCATACTGAAACGATTTAAAATATCATAGATGAGATCAAAGATTACATAAAGCTGTCTAGTAAGCTTCCCCGGTGGGGGTTCCATGATTCAAAAGACGTTAGGATTCATCTCTATATCCAGTCACAATTTAATCAATTGGAGGTATATCCTTCATCTCTGTACTATATTAAGCTAAGGATTGCCAACGCCTTTCAATGTACAATGAGGAAAATTTTACTAGGACCATATTAGTATTCTTTTGTCTGTTTACAACTGTCTGACTTTAATATCCGCAACCTGTAGCAAGGAGTACTTGGTTTATTGTTCCATCCAAATAACTGGACACTTTTCAGTGTCAAGGCCAAGGTTCAAAAGCAGTAACTTACATGGTCAGAGGGAAAAGCTTTCCCTTCACACATTATCTTAAATCTATCTTTGGTTGGTTGATAAAAAGAGATCTGAAAGGTAAAAGGGATGGTCAATTTCATTTTTCCTCATGTTATCTGTAACAACCCTGATTCTTACTGATTTTACATTGATTTGTTAAAGCATGAAAATTTGATAGAAATAATGCAAGCGGGTTAAACACAAAAAGGTTTGGTCGAAACCCTGAGAGACAGGATTTTCCTCATGGAAAAACATTTTTCTTATTATCTGTAACAACCCTGATTCTTACTGATTTCTTCAGATTTGTTAAAGCATGAAAATTGAACTAACCATCATGAGATGTAAGTTAACTGTTAATCCATTCATTAAAACGACCTCTCCTGGCTTCCCACCTACAATGTCAAATATCTGGAATGTAGCTGCATACTATGTGGGTGTATAGAAAATGCCCTATATACCTTATATTGATTATTCTATCAAAATAAGAGAATGATAACAGTTGCAGTACAGCTCTAATAACTCAATTTATCAAGCCTAATGGTTAGAAGTAAGCTAACTATAAATTGATTGGTTGGATGGATGAGCACACTTTTCTCATGAATGCTGCTAGATCTAGGAAGAGTGCAGTAATCCAAGGAAAAATGAGAAACTTTACAGGGATCGTTGGCAAGGTATCATTATTAATCTGGAATGAGTCACAGAAAAGTAAGAAATGAACCAGTTGCAACCTTCAGAGAAACATGGCTACCTACCTACTATGGTTGCCATGGTATCATCAATTTTTTCATCACAGAAAGCCCATGGTAACTCACCACGCAAATGACCTTGAACTCCCCTGAAAAAAGAATCATGTGATCTCTTGAAATCATGAAAGAATCAATTTATGCCTCTTAGCATCTACTGTCTTCATATGCTTATTTAGGTGCAGAAAAGTAGGATGTAAAACTCCATTTCATTTCAATTCATACTCACGTTTTGGCCCACTTGTCCAACTCCATTTCTACATATTTCCGTGTAGCTTTAGGACACAGACCGAGAGAGTTTCCGCAGAAATAAACACAATCTTCATCGTTTCGTACCAAACTCAGATCAGCTTCAAAATAAAAAGAGAAAAATAGCAGACATTAATCTTTTGGTAAATTCTCTGTATTTGAAGGTCAAGTTTTTCATGTCTCTTTTGAGAATTAGAATTCAGAGAGATGTATGTCTGCAATCAATGTATTCAATCAATCATTTATCTATTCATTCATAATAAAATGAAACTTACTGTGAGCTACATCAGACATTTTAGGATAATGAAACTCATGTCGGAGGTGGGCAATGGGGTCTACACTATCCATATGTTTGGCAAACTGTTCTTCTGAGACTTGGAAACCATGTCTTTTAGCAATATTTTCCAGTTCCTCTGCTGGATGCATCGTTAGGTTCTAGGTGTAACTGAAAGAAGAAAAGAAATAAATACATAAAGAATGATATTAATGGTGATAAATATATGGTCAGTTCTTTCTGACCCAGAACATTGTAAAACCAACATGTTTTCATTGAGATTTTGGTTATTATGATTGCAGACAGTCCAGCTATAAAGAAAGAGGTTTTCTAAATTGTTGCAAATTGATGCTACCAGTATCCCCAATACAAAAAAAAAATTTCTGTCACCTAAGTTCATCCAGTCTTATACCCATAGGTCCAGGGCATTTAAAAAAAAACTTAATGCCCCTAAGGATTATATACACTTACAAATAACTACTATTGTTTAAAAATTTCTAGATGGTTTCAAAAATTGCAATTTTAAAAGTTAGACCACTATACTTGTTGTAAGAGAACAGCTGTGTGCATTACCACCAAGATAAGCTCTGACTGACCTCAATAAATGACTAAGTTGGATCCACTATAACCAATTTTAAACTTAAGGGATTATAAAAGTGAAAAAATGGTGATTCTTTTAACATCATGTCGGTACAGTTCCAGTGGGCATATTTCGACACGTG